TATTAGTTACAACATGTCAAATCGAGTAATTTAAAACCAGATCTGGAGTCATGTTCTAATGAATCAAATTGCTAGTGCTCTAAATGATTCCTAAGTAGACCTGTCACTAAACAGACACAAAGGGGATTCCTTCTTCCTAGAGGTGGGAAAGCTTACCTGTCCACCCTGTTAGTACAAATGCACATGCATGCAAATAAGCACAAACAAACAACCCTCAAACACATTGTGTGCTAGCAACAAAACAACCAACACACAATGTCAAATTCAGGCATCATTCCAAATTGTATGAGCAACTGTTTCTTTTTATATAGTTATTTATTTTGTTTCTTGTTCTTTCGTGGTATTAAGATGTTGGAGGAGTTGGAAGAAGAGTTGTTTCCATGACAGCAGAGTTTGTGAAACACAATCAAGTATATATGAATCCAAGCATCGAGGTGCTTTTGTGTAATACCCAGTGGCGCTGCTTTCATCCTCCCCCACAAAATTAACTGATTTGGCAAACAAAATACCTGACAGATTGCCGCCTACCTTTCTATCCACTTTCTTTTCCCTTCTTTCATCCTTTTTTAGTAGTGTACCCCACATATCTCTAAATATGCATATAGGTCTTAATCCTCCACTGACACGTATTTGGTTTATATGCTTATTCATCCTCTTTCCATCCATCTAACCTTTTAGTTCTCAATAATGGATGTGATGTGTCACTCTTTTGTGCTCCAGCACCTGCTGAGGCCGTAAGTACTTGTGATTTTGCCAAAATCACTTTGTGGTGGCTGTTCTCTAATGGAGAATGTTGTGACACCCATCTCATCGCAGACACCTTGATGTTAGAGTTGCACTCCACTGGGAATCTCTACAGGCTGCTATCAAACGTAAAATTATATAAAGCTGTATGTTAGTTTGACATTTATTATAACCAACCAACCAAACATGTTCTCCCAGTGTAAACCAATTGCTTAAAGTTAACTAAACATTAGCATTAAATTATGCCAACAATTTTCAGCATTACAGTGTTTTCAGGCTTTACTGTTTGGATTTTGTCACCTTCAGCACTTGATTTAGTTTTTTGCAGAATGTGTTATTTATTTATTTTTTATTCTTTGAGATAAAGCAAATGATGCCACTGCACAGAATAGTATTAATGGTTTTACATTTCCTCAGACATTATTTAGCTAGTACAAATTAGCTGTATATGAACATAATTCTGAAAATCTGGCCATGTCTGGATTCTATTACTGTATCTCACATAGCAGTATTAATATAACAGAAAAATGGCTTTTGTGCTCCACATCTCAGTGTCTGCATTTAGCTGTGGCTACCTTTGTTCTTCATGTTCTTCCTCTCCATCTGTGCACATCATGGTGCAGGTGGCTTAGTTATGTCCTTTTATCAAACTGGAATTGAATATCGCCACTTTCATATAGAGCAATCTATTTTTTTAAATTTGTTCAAGTTGTGCTTATGCCAAGTGCAATCAGACATATGTGATGGTGAAGCAGCTATTACTCCTGATTACCTCCTGCATGTTATTTTAAAATCCAGTTAAACTAATTATCTGTCTGGGCTATCTGATAAAAGAACATGAAATGAAAAGAAACACATTTTAACAATAACTTAATCAGAATAAATAACTTTGACCTAGTTAGTTGTTGTTCCATTTGGAAACATAATGAACATCAGTAATCCAGTCCATCCAAGTAATCCAATACAAACACCAGAAACACCTTTTTCTTTAGGCAGTTAGTCAAAGGAGTTGATTGGACTGAAGAGTATTTCTTAAAAACATGGTTATTTTACATGCAGCACCTCTTCTTTGATAGATGTCATTATGAAACTTGTGAATTGCTTTTGAAGATTTGTAAGTAATAATTTCAATACAATTGGTCTCTACATCACAAAGGCTGCTATTAAGTCATATTAATTCATATCACACTAAACACCATTCAGTACTGTTAGTTTAGAGGTTGGAGAGTTAATGAAATGAAGAAAAATCTTCATCAGCACAACAATATCTAACACAAAAAACATGCCGGCAAAGAAGAACTGTGATCTTCACTGGAACTGACTGAAATGTGTTTATAGTTACTTAAGAAGACAGACTACAGGTATGACCCCATAACCTACCACTGAGTAGAATCAGTACGCTTAGACACGCTGCGTTTCCACTGTTGGAGCCTAACGAGAAGTGTATCCCGTGCTTCTCATAACTGTCACCCAAGAAGTGCATCCCGTGCTTCTCATAACTGTCACCCAGCATAACCACACAGGCTGTTTAGACAAGGGCTGGGCTGTACTCTGCACACACACACACACACACACACAGCTGAACAGGGTGAGCAAGTCATGGAACACAACACTCCTCAAAATCAGCCAGTAACAGAGACTGTATGAGCAGTTGATCAAACAGCCGCTGAACAAGCCAAAAAACAGACTTGCAGGAATGTTACGCCCTCAATACTTTGCTCGTGGTCCACTCACTGAAGTCTCTGCTTTACCTTTAAACCAACAAATTAACTTCTTGATCATTTTGCCTCTAAACCAGCCACTGCGTGCTACACACCATGTTTGTAATGACAGTAGTTGAGGTGTAAAGACACTGACATTTACAGTAACCAATTACGGGGGAGCGTTCTGTGAGCACCCACTGCCTCCCCCTTGTGTTTCTGGAACTTAGTTTTAGTACTACCTCCTGGGGGGTGTGAAGAAATAGCTCCCGGAATGCACCTCCAAAGCAAGCGGAGGGCAGTGGAAGCAAATGCAGAACCGAGTAGAGCATTACACATTTTGTTACGTTTCAGTGGGTTCCTATGGTGGAAGAACTCTGACACAAACTTTGCAAATATTGAACAATGATCTGACCGTTTATTTCAGTATTATGTTAGTTGTTATGTAGTCTTCCCTCTATAGGATTATGTCATTTTGTCATATTTTAATCAAAATTTAATCATCTGCTTTGTATTAGTTTGTGTTTCTCGATTAACTGAGTTTTTATACTGTATATATATTTATTTGTTTATTTGTGTAGTAAAGAAAGGTGATGATAAACATCCACTTATTGCTCATAATTAAGGAATAATTTCCAAAAAGACCATTCAGGCAAAATTATAATTTTTTTCATGAGAAAGCATGAGTTCAGATTTCTGGTGCTCTGTGTTTATTTCTGTATTTCAGTGTAGTGTTGTATGTATATGTATGTTTGCACATAGACATTTCTCTCATGTTTTTGTGATGATCCTGACTGCATAGTTTAGAGTTGCTGTTCAAGCAGCTGTTCCTCTGCTCCCTTTATGAATTAGTGGATTGTTTGCTCCTTGAGCTGAGGTTATTTGGTGTGTTCTGTGATGAGCACCATGTCAATAGATGTGCTCTGACCCGGTTCCTTTCCTTCTCTCTACAGTACAGCTTTCAGTAGCTGACATAGTTTTAGTGATTTGATTTTCCAGGATTGACATACTATACTCTCCTTAAAATTAGGCACTTTAGATAAAAACATGCATCTCTATTAATATATGACTTTTCATCATTCATGTTACCATAACTGCTTTTTTACTGGTACTGGAGTCTTTTTCCCCTCCATTAGTCAGCAGCATTACTGTATCTCTGAGGCCAGATGCATCTTCCATCTGTGGAAATCTCCACATTTCTTTTCTATGAATAGAAGCATCTATAAGACACATAGATTAATGTAAATAAAAGTGAATCCTCATTTGATGTATGAATAAAAAAATAACTTGTCATGCACAATAAGATATCCTTCTACAGTATGGTGGCTCCTTAAGATGACTCCATTTTAACAAATATAGAATATGGAATTTACCAGTTCCTACACAGTGTTGGAAAGAGTTCATCTTACAGTACATGATGTTTTGGCCTGCCACTGGGTGGTACAGCAGGTGTCAGTGGGCCATGCCATCATAAATCTGCAGGGAGTAAAAGACTGAAGGAAAAAATGTGAGGAGAGAGGAAACTTGTTTTTAGAGACATGAAAGGTCCTTTCCTCTGAAGCGACCAGTTACCAACTGATTTCTGATAAAAGGACGTGTCGGTCCATAAAAGACTTCCACGATGGATAATCTCTTTTACCCTCACTCATATCTCCTCCAGGCAGCCTCCTCACTCCTCGAAGCAGGAACAGGAGCTTTGGGATGTCCTTCGAGATGGCAGATGAGCAAGGATTGAGGAAAAGTCAGATAAGGGAACTGGGACTTACCCTTGGTGGCAGCCTAATATCTGCATTGTATTTGCTCAGCTTAAGCTACAGTGGCTTACCCAGGCATCTGGGAGCAAGACTATCCTCAGTCATCAATTAGGACAAACAGCAAACAGTAGATGTGGTCATGGCTTCATCATGTTTAAGCACAAAAGCTACTTTGTTAGGTCTAGATACAAATAGCAGTTTGGGTTAAAACAACTGTTGCCATGATTACAATAATAAACATGCAGCTACGGTTGTAAAAAGGTCATGAATAAAAAATAAGTTCCACGCAGCAAACACTGCTCTCCTGTGGGAACATTTTATGTCCCAGCCATCCACCCCAGATTCACGCTAATGTGGATTTTGTCATGTCATAATTAATACAATCGCTGGAGGCTACTTAACTATAAGACCTTAGTGTTGGTCGTAATAACCTGCTGGCACAAACAACATATGGAAACATTTTTTTACAGGACAGTCTTTCCTGGGCCACCATGCAAACCGAGAGGATCTTGGGAATCCACCAAATAAATCAGTCAAGCCTCATTAGTTGTTTCATCTTAGGAAGCAACACACCATACACTTCAGTTAACTAACACACTGTGTAGTTTCAATTCATAAAATTCATGAGGGTGGTTGTCTCCAGCATAATGAGCTTACAGGGAATTTCAGCCATTCTTTATTTGATTCAGAATATCAACATACTCTGCTTACTTATGGAACACAAATAGGTCATGACATCAACTACATTATCTGGTATTTGATCAGATTTTACTACTTATCTTGTCTCTGTATCTCCTTGCAGGAGTGACCACTGTCCTGACCATGACCACACTCAGTATCAGTGCCAGGAACTCTCTCCCTAAAGTGGCTTATGCCACAGCTATGGACTGGTTCATTGCTGTCTGCTATGCCTTTGTCTTCTCGGCCCTCATTGAGTTTGCTACAGTCAATTACTTCACAAAGAGGGGTTATGCCTGGGATGGAAAAAGTGTGGTGCCAGAAAAGGTATGTGAATCCCTTTTAATTATTTACTCACTTACTCCCAAGGAGTCACTGCAACAATAGACAAAAACAGGCACACAGACAAAAAGGCTTTCACAGAATATGGCTTATTAGGTACACAACTACAATGACAGCTTTCAGAATAAGGACAAATCCATGTTTCTGGGAAACAGAAGTATTTGTCACTGAAAATAAAATCTAGAAATTACACATATAGACGTCTGTTTCATTTTGTTATTCATGTTCGCACAAGGACAGCTAGCACTTAACTGCTGAGGGAACTTGGCCAGGCAGAGAATGGTTAGTTGTTTCTGCTACCTCATCTCATAGAAAATGCAATTTGAGTAACATGACATGAACATTAACAGCTTAGTGTTCATCCTGTGCTTTCTTGTGTTTTCTTGTCTCTGTGCTGCAGTTAGCAGCACCGCTCTTTGTAATCTCCAGCTGTTTTAGAGGCCAATATTAATTCATAGATCGCTGAGTGTAATGTTTTTATTTGGAGATATGTAGGTGTGAGGAATTAATATTTATCATCAGCAATAGTCATCAGTTGTTTTACTGAATATTCACCAGGGTGCTGAGTGAAACAAATTGCATCAGTAACTGGGCAAAACATAGTGTACATAATGTAGCTTTAAACAAGCATCATATACATAACCTGAACTCTATCCCTCTTACTCTTCCCAATACTTTCCCCAACAAACCAAACCAGCAAAAAAAGAAGAAGGAATCTCTCCTCAAGAAGAACAACACTACAGCTTACCCAGCTGCCACTGCTACAGCCTTCGCCCCCAATATTGCCAGGGACCCTGGATTGGCCACTATTGCCAAAAGTGCACCACCACCCCCGACTGAGCCCAAGGAGGAACCAAAGCCCAAGCCTCCAGAAGCCAAGAAGACCTTTAACAGTGTGAGCAAGATAGACAGGATTGCCAGAATAGCCTTCCCTCTGCTCTTTGGAACCTTTAACTTGGTCTACTGGGCAACCTACTTGAATAAGAAGCCCAAATTGCAGGGGATCACTTCACACTAATCCATGATTCATTCCTTTTAAATTATACCTGCAATTCTTTGATTTTCTTATTCCTCCTAAAAAGTGATTTATTTTCAGACAAATATGGTATCCATGCTGGTTTGAATTCCAAGTTGTTGCATTGCTTCTATATTTACCTACATTTTGGAGATTTTGAAAAACAAAATAGATTGAAAAAAAGAAATATAACAATACAGACTTGTGAAGGGTGTTGTTCAGGTATGGGATGACTCTACTAAGAAAATACTACTATAGATATATAGTCAAGAGAATGCTATTCTACAACTGCACATAGCCCAAACTTGTTAAGGGGCTTTTGTTTCTATGTTTGTTTTCATATTTCTATCTCTTTTCTGTTATTTAAACATGCTATCACAGACACAGTAAAAGGCACTTGTGTATATGCATGGGCGAGCCATCTTATTATTTATGTTTATTTATTCAGAATACAGGTTAACATTGGCTGGTGGCTTAGTTTATTTGGTACTGACAGCAAAATGCTATGCTCAGTCTTTGTCAAAATCTTCCATTCTCTGTAGATGTTTTATGAGATTAATTATGTCATTCCTTAAAAATATGTTAGGGTTTCTGCAATAGCAATAAAATATGTCTCAGTGGACATACCATTTATTTAGGGAACAAAAAATAAAAAAAATAAATTAATTTAAAAAATACAAAAATTCAATCATCTCCGTGCTCAGCATTGAAAATAGTAATTTCCTTTCACAGCATTGTAAATAATATCAGGTGTGAGAGATGTCAATATTATGTTTAAGCTTTGCAAAGTATAACTAAAGGGTATATTTATTGAATACATGGAAAAGTAAACTTTTTTATTTAATATATTTTTGTTTCTGTTATGAATCATTTCTACAAAAAGAGTATATACTGGTCCAATTCATGCTTAAGTGACTGTTTCTTGCCAAGTCAGCGTTCCATTCAAAGCTGCTTTTACAAATCAATTACTCAACTGTGTACACACTGACTTCAACAACAGCAACAACAACATCAGTGGTGAAAATGGAGAAAGGCTAGTTATGAGCAAGAATGTAAAAAAAAAAAACCAACCTCAAATCCTGGAGTTCATTTTACCTTTAGAATTAAAACACTCATTATTTACTTAGCTTGTATGTTTCTTGAGATTTTGATTATTTATGATAGGGCCTCATTTGCCAAACCACCATTTCTATAAAAGTACAGCTATCATCACTAAGAGAAGGAAGGGGGCCTTTTCCAATTTCAGAGTTGAAGCTGTAATGGCTAATACTTTGTTGATTGATGGTGCATCTGTATTTTCCATCCCACTGTGTCCCCTTCTTACGTTGAAAATTGAGACATAACACTCAGAAAGTACCAGCTACACTGCCTTCAATATCACATGCCCGTTTGGACTCATTTGTTGCTGCTTGTTGGTGAGCAACAGCGAGAGACAGGGACAGAGACAGAAAGAGACAAAGAGAAAAAGGAGATGTTGAATTGAAGTGGCACTGGAATCTTATTTTAGCCAGCGCTGTGTTTCACACACAGAACTTGTCTTGTGGTTCTATGATAGTGATGAAGATGAATATATTTTTGTCACATGAT